CTATTGAATGTTGTAGCGCTTAGCTCGCAGCTTCATTGCTGTTTTACCCTCATTTCCCCTTATCGGTGACCAACGTGGTCACCAATCAGAGCGTGTATTCCCATTGAGTCTTAGTCTTAGAAGGGGGTTTGCCCTGAGGGGGTCCATTATCTTTTAATTCCATTTTTTTCCACAAACATTTTGAAACTGCTTCATATAGTGAATTACCAAAGGCATGATGGAAGTGGAGGGGACAGAGGTAGTCTGTCAAAAAACCTAAGAGGAAGAGCTCTTGAAGTGGTGCTTAAAGGTGGACTGTATACTTGGAAAGGGCTGATATGACAGGCAATAAGATTAGCCCCCTACAAAGAAACCTAGAAAAGGGAGAATACGGCACATTCTGGATGCTACATACAAATGCTTTTCATTCTGTCTAATCAGATTCATAGATTCATCATATTACACAAACACTAGCTATGGGGATGGAGAACCTTTGAACAATTGTTTTGTTTTTCAGCCTAGAGGTGAGATGATCAGATAAATGCTAGGGAAAAAATTATTCTGAAAGAAGGACTGAATTAGCAGGAAGAGAGCCCCCATAGTAATCCACACAAGACAGTCAATGAACAAAGGTACCAGAAGTGATCAAGGAGGGAGGAAGAAGTTAGAAACATTTAGGCAGAGAATCCAAAGGTCTTGGTGACCACCAAGATGCAGGGAGGAAGAAAGGATTCCAGGATGACTCTCAGATTTCTGGCTTGGGCAGTTAAATGAATATTGTGCCATCAACCAAGATATGGAACAAAGGTGGGGTCCTGAAATCAATCACTGCCTCCACGATCTTTCTAAAGCCATCGTCCCTCTCAAAATTTCAAATCCAACTAATACAGCTAAGCTATTTCATTTTTTAACATCTCTGTAATACCTGACCAGATCCTTCTTGACATTTTTTCTTGTCCTGGTTTCTGTGACTTCCCTCCCTCCTAGAGTCCTGGTGTGGCGCTGTGGGTCATTGCACTGGACTGGAAGGTTGGTTTGAACCGCAAGGTAGGCAGTTCAAGTTTACCAGTTGCTCCTCAGAAACCCTGTACAGGATTGCTGTGAGTTGGAATCAACTTGATGTCACTAACAACACCAAGGTCCTCTAGTTTTCCTTATACCCTATACCTGGATTCCTGCCTCTGCCTGGTTCTTGCATGTTCATGTTTCCCAGGGCTTTGCAGAGACTGCCTTGATTTGTTTCTCTTCAATCCCATTGGACCACCTTTTTCATTTCCATATACTCTTCTTCCATCTATATCCACCGAAGGCTCCCAGACATGTCTCTAGCCTTCATTCCTCTCCTGAACCTTTGATTTCCTCATTTGTAAAATGGGCAGGTGGAAGGTGGTTCACTAAATGTGGAGTTAGGAGAAATGTATAAAGGTACACCACAACTTACTGTTTCTATCATACAGCTATAATAGGTATAAATAACTTGTTTACTATATTTACTTTTGCTTTTCAATGTTTATCATTCTCTTGCTTTTTTTGTCATACATATAAATATACGTAGATACTCATACATAGAATAATTTTATACCAAAACTTCATATAAAATGGAACCATTCAGCACTAAGAATAATATTTAAGAGATGTATCTACATTGTCTCATGGTTTTTTCAATTTCTTCTTAACGGCTAATATATATATATAAACTCCTTATTTTGAAATACTTAAGACTTATAGGAAGTTGTAAATGAAAATAGAGTTCCCACATACTCTTCCCCAGCTTCCCCCAATGATAGTCTTTGATACAATCATAGTGCTTTGCCAAAACCCAGACACTGACACTGGTGCACTATGGTAACTCTGGTACAGACGTTATTCAGGCAGCACTAGTTTTCATGCTCGTGTACAGTGTGGTTTGTGTGTATGAGTATTTCATGTAATCATCACAATCAGGGTACAGAACAACTCCATTACCACAGAAAAAAGGAGAGCCCTAATACCACCTCCCTTTTCCTACCCTGTAACAGTCACACCCTCACCCCAATATTAACCCCTGGCAACCAATGATCACTATAATTCTGTCACCTCACTGTATTCCCCCCACCATTTGGGACAACCAAAAATGTCTCCAAACAGAGCCAATGTCTCCTGGGTGGCACAATCATCCCCAAGTGAGAAGCACTAATTTAGACAATGATTCACATTTACTTTTGTTCACAAGTATTTCCTCAAAACTTGAATAAATGCCTCTTACCTCACAAATGAAATAAAATCTGACCCACTAACATTTATTCTAGAAGGATTAAGGTTTGGAGGCAAGATTTCTCTTCTAGGGTTGTCTGCCTTAGGGTGAAAAAAGTAAAAATTTACTTCCAAATAAGTTTTTGTAACTAGAAACAAATTGCTTTCTGTAGCACATTTCTTAAAAGATTATGTATTTGGCAGAATTTATAAGGTGGTTATTGCCAAGAAATGCAGAATGAACACAGGGGCAGATTTTTTTAAAAAGCAAGATGATACAGAAGGAGGGTGGCGGGGAGAGAGAGGAGAGTGAGATGAAGGGAAAGGGAGAGAGCAGAGAGGAGAGCGAAAGCACTTGAAAGACAGTGACTTCAATGAACAGCTGTGTGTCACTAAGGCAACACCACCCCTAGAGTTTCACACCTTTTTGGTTTTCCTTGGTTGGCAAATGTTCTTAGTATGCTAGCTCTGGTTATAAAGATGTAAAAGAGTTGCAGTCTTTTATATATATATAGAGAGAGAGAGAGAGAGGGAGAGAGGGAGAGAGAAGCAATCTTCGCGGATATAATTACATTGTGGCAGCAATAAGCATTTATACTGCAAGTTTA